AGCAAAGCTGGTGACAGCAGTGAATATGAAAAATAATAATAATAATAATAATAATAATAGTAATAATAATAATAGCCTTTCTTGTCTACCAGAAATTTGACCTCATCATTATTTGCTCAAATCAGGGCTTATCCATTAAAATAAATGATGATTTTAGTAGTTTTAATTAATTTTTTGAACGGGAAAAATTGAATTATTTCTTAAATCTACACGCTTCGTACCCGTTAGCTACAATTTTTAAAACTAAGATGTCTTATATTGTAATAGAGGGTATTCTCACCTTCAATTACGAATTCTACGGCCCAATAAACCTGTAAATTGACACATATCTTGCTATTCTGAGGTCAAGGCTGACTATATGCTCCTGGCGGGGATAACTTTGGTGGCCATCTTGTATTTCAGACTTCCCAAGGGGCTAGGATAAATTTTTAATTTAAGATTTGGATTCTGCGACCAGAATAGTATAGGGTTCAATATGTCACATGATATGAGAGGCTATTAATGAATTTTTGGCTCCAAAATTTCCGCAACTTTTTTTCAGAATCGACCTACATGTCGACTACGGGAATTAATTTCGCAGACTTCACCCCCGTGGCAGTATTTTGGGCGCCATCTTGACTTTAGGGGCATACCAGAAAAAATTGCGCCTAGTAGCATCAAAATTCTGTCACAGGACATCAAAATGAAGAGATCAAGCCATTTCGCCAACTTGTATCACAAACAGTCCCCCGGGACCCCAAAAATAAACATGTGCTCTCGGACTAAAATGCTCAAGTAGGTCGACTTGCGTCAATGGGACCCAGAGAGGGGAGAGAAACCTGATCTTTTTAGCACTTGGCCCGAAAAGAATGAATAAGCTAAAATTGGAGGTCGAAGTCCGAGTTCGTTTACAATAGTCGGCGCGTGCTAATGTTGCCAGATCCATGAAAAATGAAAAATAACTTAACTTATGTGTGTATTACTAATTGATTGATCGAAGGTGGAAAAAACCGAGGGTATCACTACCGCGGTGGGTGACATTAAAACCGAGTTCTTCAATGCGCGATATCTCGCTTAATAATGAACGTAGAAAGTTTTTGTTTGGACGGATATTAATATATTTAGCTTATCTACAAGAGTTAAGCAATTAAACACTGATCCGTGACCAGCTCAAGTGACCCACAACTTATGATCCTTTATTTTAACTCCTTTTTACTGGATATTTGGAGGCAATAGGTACGCCTTAGCGGCAGGCGGCAGTCCAATACAAAGCATAAAAGTATAATGCAAAATGTGCATCGCGGAATACAAATTATTCTAACCTTCAGAAACTGCTGCAAATTGTGGCAGTTGGACACGGCTTGGTTCAAAATACTTGCAAGCCTTCGATCAATGTCCACTACCCTTCCCAGAAAACTGGAGTAATCTATAACAAAAGCGTGGTCATCAATGTCGGTGGGGTCATATGTGAGTTGTTGAAACCGCCGAATAATCAACTGGAATTCGAGGAACATTTTATTGACTTTCCCGCTAAGATGACGGCCAAGCACTCCGCCTATCTCAACTTTCTCCAGTTTGTTGTATTCAATTGAGGTGGAGAATAATATCTAAAAAAATTCAAAAATATTTCAATATTATGACTAAAATACATATTATAATTTTTCATATTTACTTATTTCCCAGTTCTTCCACACTGTACGCATTTAAAAGGCAATACATAAATGCAACTGACGTTAGAGTGAGATTTTATTTTTTCTTAGGAAGGATATTCCTTAAAAAAATGAATGATATTCATCATGCTTTCATTACATTGATGGGCCTTACTTATATAAAGAAAATGTAATCTGAAAAGACGGTTGAGGACCATAGAGGATACGGCGCATAAGTGCAGGCCTTGCGAGAATTGAAATAAATATTAATGATTTCAACAAGATCCCTGCCTTAAAAGATATACTGAGAAGAACTCACAACTAAAATCCAATTTTTATGCATCAAAAATTGAGTTCGAACTTTCTCTCCGCCATGTAGGGAAAAGGGGGAATGGGAAGGAAATAAGGACAAATCTATCGGGATCAGAAGAGCGTGTATGAACGTGAGAGAGGATCAGAAAGACAAGTGGTGGTGCGTAACCATAGATACATACAAGAGATATATACATGATACAGTCAAAATCGTACAGGGTGCCACCCCCGGGCGGGCTATGCCGGGTCTAGGACAGGGCAAATTTCAGAGATGCTACGAATCAAAGTGCCAGAGCTGGTCTTGATTGATGCTACTCTAGGTATGTTGTCATTACCTGGGTGAAGCTTTATAATTCGGCCCATTCTCCAAAGCAGAGGAGGCAAGAACTTATCTTTTAATATCACTAATGTGTTGACCCTAATATTGGTTTGTTTTACCCATTTACATCTTTGTTGCTGCTGATGCAAGTATTCCATTGACCAACGTTTCCAAAATTTTTCATATAATTTTTTAATTAACTTCCAATTTGTGACCGACGAAGTTGGATATTCTGCTTTAGTATTTAATATATCGGTCATTGCAGAACCAATCAAGAAGTGGCCAGGAGTTAGTGGAGAGAGGTAATTAGGATCGTTTGACATTGGCCAAAGAGGTCGAGAATTCAGGATTGCTTCGATTTTGTCAAGGATTGTTGAGAATTCTTCGAAATGAAGTACGTTTGTTGTTACAGTTTTGGAAAAATGATGTTTGAAACTTTTGACACAACTCTCCCATAAACCACCAAAATTAGGAGAGTAACGAGGGATGAACTTCCATTCAACCTGTTTCTCTTGCAAGTAATTTAAAATTTCAGCTGGAAGGTTATTTTCAAACAACAGGGGTTGCCTAAGATTATTTCTAGAACCAATAAACGTTTTTGCTTGATCCGAATATATTGTTAGAGGAATTCCGCGTCTAGATACAAATCTTTGAAGTGCTAAAGTCACCATCCTCTTGCCAAAAACCTCAGAAAATTTTTCTTTGTTCCCCTCTTCACCGAAAGAAGAAAAAAACACTCTACGACAGCTTCCACTTCTGTCGTAGAGTGCCCCAAGCGGACCAAAGGACGGAACTCTTAGTCGTAAGCACATATATTCAACAAAATCTCCGGGAGGTCACAGACCGGCTGCTAGCCCCTCATCGGACCAAAACGTACACCGTACCATTTTTTCCTTGTATGTGCCACCAAATTACATGAATTGACTCCTTGAGGGGCGGGCAAGTTTTATTGAAATTCACGTCATCTTCTAAAAAATGAGCGACCATTTTCACCACGCCACGAAGAAGAAGAAAATCGAGTTATCATTTTTTCCATACACGGTAGGTATGCGTATGAGAGGCACCAGGAACGCCTTTCAAAATTATTGATGCAACCCGCATGACTCCGAAGTCAGCGGAAACTTTCTTAAAGCGTCCCATAAGATTTTTCCCACGCAATAATCCCCTTCAAAAATGAATGATGCAACAAGCGTGTCCCGTGTGACGGCGGAAGCTCCTCAGATGAGCAATCTTTTGGAAGAAAAATATTTTGGTCCGGTCAGAAAAATATTCAAACTTTATTTTTCGTCTTCTCTTCTCATTTCCCGCATTGACAGAGGCGAAATTTTTTGGAAAGCATGAGGCGCCCGGGACAATGCATAAAAAAAGTGCGAATAGAATGTGACCTTCCACTATGAATGATCGTTAAGGAATATCTGAGGGAATACTTGTACCACAAAGACGGTACTGTTTCTTTTGAAGTGTATGAAGCCTACTCCTAGTCATTGACTTTGGGCGCGTAAACGTAGTATACCGCCTTTGCGATCGTTTCTACCCTCTACTTGGTACAATAACCGTGCGCACATATGGAAATCTACCTACCCCTCTCCACCGCGCACCTGACCCTAGCGTCGGCTTCTTGAAAGAAACAATTAGATCGGCTCTGGCGATGCGGTCGTCGGGACCCTATTACTTACGCTTGATTAACCATTTCACCGTCACGCTAGGATTTGTCCAATTTTCAAAAAAAATTGTTTCGCTTGTACTTAGCAATTTTTTCCTTACTCTCCGTTAAAACACGAATTAAAAAAGGTCTCATTCATAAAAATCGGCAAAAAAGAAGAGAAGTTACAGTATTCGAAATCTGAAAAATCAACAAAACCTCGACCTCCCCATGCAAAAAATAAGATGAAGGGGGAAAAAAATAAATGTATAAATTAACATTAACATTGCATTAAACATGTTTTATATGTCCAAATCGGAAATTCTTAAAATTTGAACTTCAGTGTCTCTTGAGTCGTTTAAGCCAAAAAAAAAAGAAAAAAAATTCCGTCTAGATTCTGGAACGTAAAGGCGCCTCAAATGTATTTTGGGGCTATAATAGCTACATCAACGGTAGTAAATCCCAATGTAATATTAAAAAGAAATTGACTCCATAGTCTAATGCCTCAGTTTCTTAAAGACGATCATTTTAAGCACTCACGCATTTCCCTGGTAAAAATGATCAGTTGAGATGTTATCAGCTGACCGTCAGCCGTGTTTTGGTGCGAAAGAATCAGTTGACATCAGTTGACATCAGTAGGTATCTGATCAGTTGATGTCAGTAGAAATTGTCAGTTGACGTCAGTTGACATCAGTAGATATCTGATCAGTTGATCAATTTAAAAATAATCAATGTTCTGAAAATATTGCATCTAGAGAGCGCGCACTTTAGGTGATGTATTTGGTACTAACGTTCCTTCGATGGTGCACATGTGCCATTTCAAATTGATCGATCGTACGGTTGTGCCT